CCTCCAGATCATCGCCCAAGAGGGCCCCGAGAGGACCCCCCGAAGCCCACCCCAACGAGGGCCGCAGGGGGAGCCCAAGCGGGGAAGCTCGATGGGAGCCCTGGGAGCCCTCCCCCACCGAAACGCCCCCAAGACGCCCACAAGGCCCCCAGAAGAGCCACACGAGGCCCCCGAGAGGCCCCTGGGAGGCCAGATGTGCGGACGGAGCCAAGCCGCTTCGGCGACAGCGCCCCCTGCAAGCGAGGCACCCGTGGGCTCCCAGGGGGCCGGCGGGGCGGCGCGAGCCAGCGAGTCGGATGGAGCTCCAGCACGCCCACGGGAGAGGACGCTACGAGACGGCACCCCTCGATCGCCGAAGGAGGGGGGCAGCCCGAGCACAGCGGAGGCAGTCCACAAGAGATCTTCCACAAGAAACCCCAGCCTGAGACAACAGGACCTCCATTGATTGTCGGTGTGGAAACGTCACGCTGCCGATAGCAAGACAATCGAAACCCAAGAAACCCAGGGCACCCTGGAGGCAAGCAGGGTTTTTCTTGGCATGGGTCTCCACTGTATCTGGGTCACCCGCAGGTGGCCACACGTGAACCCTGCCCCTCCGCCCCCCAAGTCTTCTGAAGGGGGGGATGGGGGTTCACTCCGCTCGAGAGCTCACGAACGGAGTGAGCCCCCCCCCCCCAGGAATCGTGGGGGGCGAAGGGAGGTGTACTTGTAGCTCCCAAAACCCGGATAGCAGGGCAGCTCTGAACGCCTAATTATGCGCGCGGCGGCGCCTGTCCCCGCTACCACCGCAACGATGACCGCGATTGCCACCACCGCGCGCGCACACGCCGCCACCGCAGCACACCACAGCACCACCCACACCTACATTCACACACACACACTCACACGCGCGCGCACACGCACTCGCAAACATCCACAGACCCGCCCCCCCCACACTTACGACCAAGCACTCACGACGCTTCCCACAGGCGGTTCTCCCTCGTGACCTGGACTTCGGGAAACATTTGCTAGGACGCTTGAAGATGCCGGAGAGCTTGCAAGCTTGCGGAGGACGCTTGGCAGAACGCTTGAAAGGATTCCTAGAGAGCGTGCAAGCTCTGAGAAGGAAGCTTCGCAGGAGCTCCGAAGGAGCTGCGAAGGACCTGCGGATAAGCTTCCCAGGCGCGTAGTGGAAACGAGTAGGAAAACGTGTTCGGAACAAGCTGCAATTTCAAGCATGCTGCTGCGGCGCTGCCTGACCGAGAGCTGTGGAAAGGAAGCTGGCCTAGCCTTGCCTGCCGGCTTCTGATCTCAAACCCTCTTAGCTCTCCAAGGTGCTATCCAGGAACATGTGGCCAACCGTATGCTGGTGAGAATCATCCCCTGGACATGCAGTTCGGGGTCCAGGCGGGAGAGTAACATTCTTGCAAGAGATATCGATGTTAGGATGTCTGGATCGCGTTTCGCCTAAAACATCCTCAAAACCAGAACTACGATCGGAACTGTGGAGGGGATAGTGCAGTCCAGTCTCCCCGCCTGCTGAGCCACATTCAATCCCGCGGACAAGGAGATACAAGGGGAAAATGGGGGATGCTGTATTTGGGGGGACGGACAATGACATAAACATAAAAACTCGGAGGTCCGCGCGGATTTCTTGGATCGGCGCTGGACCCCCCTGGCGCGCTCCGCGCCGAAGGCGCCGCCAGGGGGCCCCTGCGCCGATCCGAGAAATCCGCGCGGACCTCTGAGTTACTGTTTATGTCATTGTTCGTCCCCCTATCACGACTCTTAGGTCGGGCATGACCCCCGACAGGCGGATTTTGGACGGAAAATAAAGCATAGTCCAAAAATACTCCGAGATGGTCAGAAATGGTAAACCTGCTTGATATGTGTGTGCTTTCTCTTTCCTCTGTATAAGCATATGTTTGTCTTATGTATATGCATATGTGTATAGCTCTCTCTATATATATATAGTATGTATGTATATATAATATATATATATATATATATATATATAAATCAAAACATCGCCAGACTATGTTTTGACAAGTTTTGAATACTCCTCCTGTAGAGGGACACGCCCGACCTATCACCACCCCAGGGGCTGGGGCCGCCGAGGCCGCACCCGCGCGCAGCACCCCGTGCGCGACGCGTGGCCCCGCTCGCGCCCTCGCGCGCCGCCCCCCTGCAGCGGGGGGCGGCCTCCACCCCGCGGCCCGGGCCTCGCAGGGCGCGACGCGCACGGCCACCCTGCGCACGGGCACCCTGCAGAGGGCCTGTCCCCCTACAGGGTGAGTGTGGGCGAAAAAGGTTTTGGCTGAAAAAACTCCAAAAATACTCCCCAAATGCTCAACAAATAATTTCAAAATAGGCCCCGGACTATTTTTCCCTACCTAGGCTCTGCCTAGAAGGGTCTTTCCCTGAGGCTTATCAAGGGCCGGGCAGTGGGGCACGCCCCGGGCGGTTCCCCCGGCATCCGCCCCGCGGTTCCCCCAGTCCCCTGGGAGCTGTAGCTTCAGCTTTAGCTTCAGCTTTAGCTTTAGCTTTAGCTTAGCTTTACTGTTACTACTAATGCTGCTTTCCTAGGGGCTCCAACTCCTAGGTAGGGGAACACTGGGATTCATTCTTTACTATTTTTGAATATCCCTCCTATAGAGGGACATGCCCGACTTAACCCTGGAGCATGCTGGCAGGTGTGGCAGGCATCGGCCCACACATCTGGTCAGGGGAACGAACAGTGACATACCCACAAAAACTCGGAGGGCCACGCGGGTTTCTCGGATCGGCGCTGGGGCCCCCTGGCGGCGCCTCCGGCGCCGCCCCTGGCGTGCGCTCCGCGCGCCAGGGAGGGGGTCCAGCGCCGATCCGAGAAATCCGCGCGGACCTCCGAGTTTTCATGTGTATGCCATTGTTCGTTCCTCTATTTCTGTTCGTTTTCGTATTGCTCTCGTTTCCTCTCGTTGCCGCTTGCAGCCCCTGCGCCACAAGAGGGGTCTCGCCCCTGCTGGCAGCGTGCATGCTGCCCCGCTCGGGGGTCCCCGCTGCTGCGCCTCACCTCCCGCTTTGCCCCTCTTCCCTGGTGGCTGCCGGCCATGGCGACCCCCCCCCAGACGGCTCCGCGTGGCGGCCCGTCCCACTCCTTGCCAGGTCCCAGGCCGTGATGCTGTGCACCGGCCTTGGGATGGCATCACGCTCTGCCTTTCGCCCTCGCCTTGCGCGCCGCGCGCTGGGCAGCTCCGCGCCGGTGCTCCCACAGCCGTAGCGCCGGACAGGCGGTTCGGCCCCTGTCCGCAGCTTTGTTTGCCCCGCTTGGGGACCGCCGCCGTTGCGGTTCGCCTCCCGCTTTTGCCCGATGGCTTCCACTCGGACGGCCAATGATGGGCCCGCCCCCCACTTCCCCTCGAGGGGGGCCCCAACCGTGCGCCACTTGCACCAGGCGCCGCCCATTCTCTAGCCGTGATGCCGTGCACCGGCTTCGGGGTGGCGCTTTCTTCTTCTCAAGTTGCCTCTGCCTTCCACTGCACCCCGCCCCACTGCACAGCGGCCCCGCCGCAGCTGCTGCAGCACCAGCGCCCTTTACCACTGCACCGTACCCCGCGGCAGGCTGGCCGACCGTACAGCGGCCCCGCCGCTGGCCCGCCCGCTGCTGCCGCCTCTGGACCCCTCGCAGCTGCTGCAACACCGGCGCCCTTTGCCCCTGGCCGCCGCCGGCTCCCACGCCGCTGCCATCCCCCCGCCTGGCGCCCCGGTTCTCTGGCCGCCTGCTGCTCTCGCTCCCCCACTTGCTGGGCCCTGCCCGCACTCTGGCTGCTGGCCCCTCCGATGGGTGCTCTGCGAAGCCGCCCCGCAGCAGCTGCCAGGTGCTGCCCTTCAGCCCGGCCGCCCCCCGCACGCCCGCCGCGGCCCTGTGGCGTGAGAGTGCCCCCGCGCCCGGCTCCCCTCTCTCCGTGGCCGCCCCCCCTCGCCTTCCGCCCCCCTCTTGCATGCGGCTCAGTGCGCGACGCGGTGCCCTGGTCTCGCCCCGACGTGCGTGCGGTTCGCCTCTGCCGCGCTGCGACTTAAAAAATGGTTCCCGTTTCCCCTCGTCGTGTCTTCCATCCGCCTCTGCTGCGAAACGGAAACATCAAAACGAGCGCGGCCCACGACATCGTCAACATCATGTAGGTCGACCCCTGCGACAGGAGAGTCCATAATCGAATCGATAAGTCGGATCGGCGATCGACATGAATCGGATCGGCAGAAATCGGCAGCCGAGTCGGGAGAAGTCGAAGCGGCGGAAATCGGCAGGCTGATGGGCCCCCATTGGGGAATCGGAATCCAAATCGGAATCCGAAGTCGAATCGAACCGGAATCGGAGGCCATCGAGATCGCATCGAATCGGAGGCCATCGGAAGGAGCCCTGTAAGGTGTGGTCCCCCGAAGAGCGTCCTTGCACCGAGCGGCCCGTGAGGCCGTGCGCGAGTGCTCACCTCGGCCCAGATGTGCCGACGCGGGCCAGGGGAGCATCGAGGGGGCAAGGTGCGGCAGGGTGTCGGAGCAGGGCGCGAGTCGAGACGGGCGGTTCAAGGTCGGCCCCTGGATCCCGCCTACTTGGGCGCCCGAGTTATCCGGGGTCACTCGGGTCCGGGGTAACGCGGGTTCGGAATCCCGAAAAGCGAACCCGAGTTAGCCCTGACCCGAGTTACCCCTGATGATTCGGGGATCCCACCTACCGTCGGGGCGTTGACGTAAGGAACCATAAATAAGGAACGAGGCCCTTTCCTCCATAAGTGGAACTTTGATGTTCCCATCGCACACCTCCGGAAAACCTAAGGCAAACTTGAAAACAATCAAGGAACACCGAGCCCCTCCGCAACGAAAAGGGTTCCTTCTTCAGCGCCCCGACTGTAGGGTTCATACGTACACATTTTCCGAGCTGCGTGCAGCTGGGGCGACGAAGGAAACCCCCGAAGGCCAAACACCGCTGTCTCAACTCGCCCTCCTCTGAAGGTGGGCGCCCACTTCTTGCTGATTCCGGCATCCTGCATCTGATGCCAGGCACGTCCCTGAAAGGCGGGATGATGCAGATGTTCAGCCTCGCCTCCAGGGGGGCGTCGCTGGCATCCAGCAGCTGAAGTTCTCCCAGGAAGCCGTTCGGCATTATCTTGTCGCCTGTGAGCACAACGTGACCAATGAAATCCAGCGCCTCCCGCACGCGGGGAGTCTCGACAGGAGACGGAGACGAGGCCACTGGGTAGAGTTACGGTCAATCGGTCGAAAACTCGCTGGCTTCGTCAAAAGCACCTCGTGATTAGCATACGACGTTGGCAAGACCTCCTCCTACTCCTCCTCCTCCTCCTCCTCCTCCTCCTCCTCCTCTTCCCATCCTGCCTCAAGCCCGCTCAAACCGACCGAAGTCGGCCCCAGGCCCGAGCCGAACACGACCGCCGAGCGAAGACGAAACACATCTGGCTCTGCCCAAGCGCGCGATCACCGCCCTCTGACTCAGGGCTCCGTGCGCGACCTTCGTCAGCCCCGATACCCTCGAAGTCCACGACCAATAGCTTGGGCTGCAGTGCAACGCCCCATCTCCCACGTACCTTGGTGTGGCAGGCTGGTGTCGTGGCGATTTGCGCGTTGGCTTCTGACACCGCACGGATCGTTCATCCCTGGAGCGATCCCCAGACATCCCGCTGCTCCAATATTTGTTCGATGCGTGGGCCCAGGGCCCGTTTTTCGCCCTGAGTCGTTTCTTGACGCTCCCGAGGCCCGGCGAGGGCCCCCAGAGGCCGGAGACACCCCAAGACCCGCCTGCTCCGATTTTTGTTGGGAGCGTCGGCTCTCTGGGTTCCTCCCTCGAGCGATCGGCGGCTGTCCAGCAGCGCTCTACAGTCCTCCTCCTCCATCCTCCTCTTCCTCCCCCTCCTCCTCCATCCTCCTCCTCCATCCTCCTCCTCCTCCTCCTCCTCCTCCTCCTCCTCCTCTTCCTCCTCTTCCTCCTCTTCCACAATACTCAATATGAATACTGCTCTCCCTCTTCCCCTGATGGCGTCCTGGGAGTAGTAGACCCCCCCCCCGCGTACTGTTTCTTTACATACAAGATTCCCGGGAATTGGGTTTTCGCCTGCGTTTTTTTCAAAATGCTGCTCTCGCTGAGGCGCCGGCCTCATTTCTGCTCCCGAATCGTTCCGAATCGTGCTCCCGCTGCAGCGTGGGCCTCATTTTCGGATCGGTGTTTTGCCTCCGTCGTTCAGGATGGCGTTCTCGCCCCAGCGCGGGCCTCTTTCTCGCGCGCCCATCCGCCCGCCACCACCGCGCCGCACCACGCCCCGCCCCGCCGCACGCACACCCACCGCCACTTCCACCCACCAACGCACGCACGCACGCACGCGCACCACCACCGCGCACCGCCACCACCACCGCACTACCCCACCCACCACCACCACGCTACACCGCGTCACACCACATCACACGCGCGCACACACAGACACACGCACGCACGCACGCACGCACGCACACACGCACACACACACACACACACGCACACACACACACACACACACACACACACACACACCACCACCGCCACCACCACCACCGCCATCACGCACGCACGCACCTGGCCCACCACCAAACCACCAAGACGCCACACCACCACACCACAGCACACGCGCACACACGCACACGCACACGCACACACACACACACAAACACACATACACACCACCACCACCACAACCACAACCACGCACACACGCACGCACGCACGCGCACCACCACCCACTACGCACACGCGCGCGGAGCCACAGGTCCGCTACGACACGCGTCCGCGGATAGAGAAAATCAGCGCCATGGTAAGGGATGGGAGGGAGGGGTAGGATGTCAGATGTAGACGCGAGCGCACCTAACTTGTCCTCCCCCTCCTCCTCCTCCTACTCCTCCTCCTCCTCCTCCTCCCCTCCTCCTCCTCCTCCTCCTCCTCATTTTGGCTCAAGCGATCGCACGGCCTTGCTCGCGCTGCCCCTCGGCGCGCGATGGCGGGGCCTAGAGGGGCTTGCGCGCCGCCCTCCCTGGCTGCCTCGCTGGTTGAGGCCGCCGTCCGAGGCGCTGTGCTTGCTGGCGCTCCTCGGCGCACCGTGGCGGCCGTCGCACGGTCGGCGGTCTCAGCGTCGCTCTTCCAGAGCGCTGGGGTCCCCGTGCTGCCGGCCGGAGACGACGCTGAAGGAGCTCCTGAACGACCCGCCGCTGCTGCTGCTCGCCCTCGTGTCCGCACGGAGGCGCAAGTGGAGCGGAGGAAACGCCGCCGCGCGAGGCTCGCTGGGATGCGGGCTCTGGAGCGGGGCGAGGCCGCAGCTGAAGCTGAAGCTGCGGCCGCCATGGACGTCTCGGCGGACGAGGGCGGCGCGGCTGGAGCGGGCTCTTCGCCTGCGGAGGCTGGCGCGGGCCCTGGTGCTGTCCATGGCGGCGTGGCGCCTGCGATTGCGGCGGCGGCGGAGCCAACTGCGGCTGGCGGAGCCGATGCCATGGATGTCCCTCCCGAGAACGCGGCGCTTGTCGCGGAGCTCCTGGCGATGTCCTCCAACCCGACCCAGGACGCCAAGTTCTTCCCGCTTCTCAAGCTCGGCCAGCTACGCGACCTCCTCGAGGACCACAAGCAGCTGGGCGCCCAGAGGACCATCCTGGACGGGTCCAAGAAGGGATGAGAGACTGGCCTGGCAGGGCCCCGCTGTCACCACGTGTGCGCTCCTGGCGCGGATGGTGTGCAGCGGGTGATCCCTGTCGGGCCCTTCCCCTTCGGTCGGCAGCACGTGTGCGGTACGTCCGCGGTTGCTGTGCAGGCCGTTGGGGCGCCGTTCCAGGCTCCATATTTTCTCTGTCTGCTAGTGGCTCACCCGCAGACTTGAGGCTCGCTCGCTCGCTCCTCCTCCTCCTCCTCCTCCTCCTCCTCCTCCTCCTCCCCCTCCCCCTCCCCCTCCCCCTCCCCCTCCATCCTCCTCTGGCCGTGTGCTGGGGGGTATCAGCAGTAGCAGCGACGGCGGGAGAGCAGACACAGCACCGTTCCATTTCGGCCGCCTCTGGGCCACGGGCGGCGCTCCAGCCTGCACACCGGCGTTCTTTGGGTCGCCGCCACGTCCACACGACACGAACCAACGGCACGCCGCACTTGTCAAACTCTCTCCAGGACTGTTTTCGTTTTGTTTTCGTTGTGTTTTCGTTTCGTGTTCGTTTCGCTTCGTTTCCAACATTGATCGTTTTGTTTTCGTTTTGGTTTTCGTTTTGCTCTAAGCTCTACCTGTCTTCCTGTACCTCCCTGCCAAACCCAGTAAAACAAAGCACATCCGAGATCCAGCAGAACAGCGTTTAGGCCCAGCCCTGCATCTCTCCACAGACACGGGCCAGACCGCGGCGAAGTCGCGAGCGCGTCCGAAGCCGCATCCTCGGCTGGCGGAGCTGGCGTCGGCCGGGACCGATCGTCCTCCTTGCCGACGTCTCTGTCCCAGACCTCAAAAAACAGGGCGTCGCCCTCGGCGTACAGAGACAGCTCGTCGAGGTATCGCCAGGTCGGGTTCCTCGTCCGGGGGATGACGTGGGTCTCGATCTGGCCTTTGGCCTCTGCTCGGCCATACCGTCGCTTCCAGTGGGCGCCCTGGCTGCGGCCCTGAGCACGATGAGGCCCCTCGTCCTGCGCGCGGGCTTGGGCTACGGGCAGTGACGCGGGCCGCCGCCGAGCCCTGAGACCGGCCGGGGCCTCGCGGGTCCACATGTGGGAGGCGCTCTCCCTCCGCAGGAGCCCAGAATCGAATCGACAAGTCGGACCGGCGATCGAAACGAATCGGATCGGCGGAAATCGGCAGCCAAGTCGGGAGAAGTCGAATCGGCGGAAATCGACAGGCTAGTATGCCTCCATCAGAAAGCCCAGATCGGAATGCCAAGTCGAATCGAATCGGAATCGGAAGCCATCGAAGCCGAATCGAACCGAATCGGAGGAACCCAAACGAACCCTGCCTCTGTGCGAGGGAGGGGGGCGAGGGAGTAGGGAGTTGCCCTCAGAGGCCCCAAAGGCAAAACCAAGCAACTGAGCACACCAACCATACTCCAAATTTCGTAATAAAAGGGAAGGGGTCTGGACCCTCCAAGACAAGCCATTTCAGACCTCCCCCGTGGGAGAACCCTCCAAAACATCGTCCCCAGACCCCCCAGGCCCTCCAAGATAGCCTGGAAGAGACCCCCCCCCGAAATGAGACCCCCCTCCCTTTATTACGAAATCTGGAGTACCTGGCGATGTCGCATGCGAGCAGCCCGCGCCTCCATCCCTGGTGTCGGGCTCACGCGCGTGCTGGAAGGAGCGGACGCGAAACCAAAAGGCGCTGCTGGCAGCATGCGAATTCGGTCGAAGCACAAGCAATGGTGGCATTAAACAAGGTTAGGATCGGGATAAATCGCTCCAGAGCGTTCCGGAGCGATCTCAGAGCGTTCCGGAACGCTCTGGGGCGGCCGCGGCGCCCAATACATTCTCCAAACCCGCCGATTCTCAGAGATTTCGAGTTATCCCGATCCGATTTTGTCCCGATCTTCCCGTCGTTTGGTGGCAGATCCCGCAGCACCAGTCTCCTCAGATCTGCAATGAAGGTCCAGACTCTGGCGAAGACGCCTGGGGTCGCCTCTGCCGCTGGGTCCTGGATTACCATCGCGCCGACCAGCAAAACTGAAACCCCGCTCAATCGTGCAAGCGCCACGTCGGAAGCAGAACACGAGCGGCGCACACGGGCCAGTCTGGCGCGGTGTGGTGCACAGGAGGTGCCCCTTCTCGCTTTCAGCACCTTGCGTTCGACGGAGGGCCGTGGGCTAGGCAAGCCTTTGCACCCAAGCATCCGCCTCCCGTCACGGTAGGCAACGGCACTTGCTGCACCGAATCACACTCTCCAGGTCAGCTTCTTTCAAAGGGTCCAAGAGGTCCAGGGCGACCCGATCGTGCCAACTCTGGGCACGCTGGGGGGCAACCGAAAGCTCGATGCGCGTCGGCGGCATTCGACTTTCGGAAAACAGGAGAGCACACCACCAAACATTGAAACCAGCTTGCGGAGCACAGCAACATCGGTGTCACATTGCTCATGCTCCTGAGGGGCAAAGTGCACGAAGGAGGAGAGAGTGGAAAGATGATGAGGGAGGAGGGGGGCGGAGGGAAAGACAACGGGGCGGAAAAGGGGGGGAGGTGGCAGGAGGAAATGGGGGAGAAAGGGGGAGGACGAGGAGAGAGAAGGGGGGGGAAGCGGAGGCGAGAGAAACTGCGAGAACGCGGGGAATCACACGCGCGCAAACGAGCTCGTGGGTATGTGTGTGTGTCGCCACTGCGCCCTGGATAACGACATGAAGAAAATGCAAGCACATTAGCGTTTGGCCGAATGGGCGCCTCCAAGAGGCAGAAGGCAGTGGTGGTTCGCCGTAAGCGCGCTACACATATATATATATATATATATATGTATATATATATACATCTACATATACTAGAACCATCGCGCGCTTCGCGCGCGCTCAAGTTCTAGCTAGGGTCATGATCATCGTCATCACTGTCAGCCTCATCCCCGTCATCTTCATCGTCATGGTCACCTTCACCATCACCATCTCAACAATATTCATTATCACCATCATCATCAGCATCGTGATCACCATCGCCATCATCGTCATCGTACTTTTCAGCATCATCATCCGCATTATCAACATCTCGCAAGGTCGTCGTCGGCGTCGTCGTTGGCATAGTCACGGTCATCATCATCAGCGTCATTGCCGTCATCATCCCCTGTTCACTGCAGTCCCCTTACCCTCCTCCTGTTCCCGTTCTCCCTCTGCCCATCATCTTACATTCATGTATACGGATCCCTGTTCCTTCAACTCCTCCTCCTCCTCCTCTTCCTCCTCCTTCTCCTCCTCCCTGTCTTCCCCGCTCTTCGGTGTTTCCCTCCTTGTGCTCCTTCCCCTACTTCACCTCCTTCCTCCTCTCGAGCCCTCTTCATCCTGCGCTCCCCTTCCCTCCTCGTCCTCAGCATCCCTCCCCGAGCCAGAGAATCAGAGAACAAGAAAATATTACAAGAACAATGTCCCTCCTCCTCCTCTTCCCCCTCCTCTTCCCCCTCTTCGTCCTCCTGATCTCCTTCCTCCTTCTCCTCCTCCTCCTACTCCTACTCCTCCTCCTCTTCCTCCTCCTCCTCCTCTCCCACCTCCTCCTCTTCCTCCTCCTCTTCTTCTTATTGTTATTATGTTTCCTATTATTATTACTACTTTATTACAATTATTCTTATAATTATTAGTAGTATTATTCTTCTTACGTTTCTTATTAATAATATTAGTCTTATTATTCGTATTTGTCTTATTCTAATTATTAATATTATTAGAATTATTATTCTTAGTAGTGTTATTAGTATTCTTAGTATTATTATTGATATTCGTATTTGTATGATTCGCGTGTTTACTATTGTTGTGTCTCTTATTATTTGTTGTCTTCTTCGTATTATTATTCGTCTTCTGAGTCGTACTATTCTTCACATTATTATGTATATTAGTATTATTATTAGTAGTATTAGTATTATTGTTCTTCTTCTTTTTTATCATTATTATTATCCTCCTCCTCCTCCTGCTGCTGCTGCTGCTTCCTCCTCCTCCTCCTCCTCCGCCTTGTCCTCCTCCTCCTCTTCTCTCAACGCACCCAATACACGGGTGCCTACTGGAACGCGTGCCCGGAGCCTTTTTGGAAGCATTGTGGCAGTCTCTGGAGCCTCTCCGGGCCTTCGTTTAGAATCCCTTGGAGCCTTTGTTGGCCCGTCTGAGGGCCCATTTCGCCCGTTCCGGGTCCCTCTTGGCTCGTCGTGGGGAGCTCAGCCCGTCTTGGGGCCCTCCTAGGGCCCTCTCCGACCATGTAGGAATCCTCTGGAGGCCCCCTCGGGCTTCCTGGGGGCTCTCTTGGGCCGTCTTGTAGCTATTCTGTGCCGATCGACGCTCTATTCAGCCCATCTTGGAACCCTCGTTGGGGCCTCTGGGGCCGTCTGGGGCCCATTTTGGCAACCTCTTGGGCCGTCGCGACCGCTGGTAGAACTGAAAAGCGAAGCTCCCATAAATATGTTTTTTCCATTTGAAAAACTTGGTTTTTGACTCGGGACTCTCTCGGGCTGTTTTCGAGCTCTCTTGTGCTGCTCGACGCTCTCTTGAGGCTGTCTTGAAGCCCTCTTGGGGGCCTCGTGGACCGTGTGGCGTCGATTTGGGGAGCCTTTGGGGCCGACGTGGCCGCCGATGGAACATAAGAAACGAATATCATAGAAATGAACGTTTTTCCAATGGGACATGCTAATTTTTGCACCCGGCAGCCTTCTCAGCGGCCTCCTGGACCGTCTTCAGGGAGTCCTGGTAGGCCTTCTTTGGACCCTCTGGAAGCCCAAATCGGCCGTTCCGGGTCTCTCTTCGCCCGTCATGGGGACCTGCGCCCGTCTTGGGGCCCTCGGGGGGCCCTCTCAAACCATGTAGGGATCCTCCGGTGGCCCCCTCGGGGTTCCTGGGTACTCTCTTGGGCCGTATTGGAGCTCTCTTGTGCTGCTTGAAGCTCTCTTCAGGTCTGCCCTAAGACGGCCCAGATGAATCGCCAACAGACAGCACTCCAAGTACGATACACCGAAATGAGTCACATAACTGCTGCTCTCCTTCTCTATTACTCTCCTCCTCCTCTAACTCCTCTCCACCTCCTCATTCATCCTACCTCCTCCACCTGGCTCCTCCACCTCCTCCTCCTCCACCACCTCCACCCTCATCATCATCCTCAGCCACAGCAGCATCAGCATCATCATCATCATCACATCATCATCAACATCAACCACCACCACCATCACCATCACCATCCCCATCACCATCACCATCACCAACATCATCACATCACCATACACCAACCATCACAACAACATCATCCTCATCATCATCAACAGCATCACAACAGCATCAGCATCAGTATCAGCATCAGCATCAGCATCAGCATCAGCATCAGCATCATCATCATCATCATCAGCATCAGCATCAGCATCATCATCATCATCAGCATCAGCATCAGCATCATCATCATCATCATCATCATCATCATCATCATCCTTGACTTCCCCATCACGACTCTCCCAAGCCTGGGGGCACGAAACGTCACACGCGACGGCATACAGTGCCCCTTGCAACGGTCGCCAACCAGAATGCTGGGCTGGCACGGTGACAGGACTTCGGCCTCTTTAGCAGCAATGCATGGCGGAAAACCACGGCGTCAGGGAGGGAGAGCGGGAGAGGGACAGAGGAAGGTAGAGAGACAGGAAGGGAAAGAGAAGGAGCATGGAATAGGACGGATAAGCGGGGAGAAAGTGAAGATATGACGGGTGAGTGACCGTGCATGCGGAAGATGCATGCGCGTGTGCATGCATGATATGACAAATCCGTGTATACATTTATTTATATGTATGCACATCTGCTCATATGTAGATATACCAGACTGCAGCGGCGCTTCGCGCCATGCACCTTGGTCCTTCGAGGTTCGCACGCGGGCGGCGTGCGTGTGCGTGCACACGCGCGCGCGAACATGTGCATACATGTCATACGCGCGCACGACGCCACTCGTATACAGACATATAGGCGTGTGGCTATACACATACGAGTATACAAATTTGTTAACAAATTTGTGGTATGTTGATATACGTACCCTTCTATATTTATATGGTTGTATGTATATGTATGTGTATAGGTGTGATTGTGTGTGGATAGTTCCATGATTGCGCATACATGTGTATCATGTCTACTTGGGCAGATCTACGTTACACATATGCATGTCTGTAGACATGTACGCGGTCGTGGCCACAAAAGTGGGGGCTGGACAGAAACGCAGTGAAGGACTCGCGAGAGCCAAAAGACTTGGGTAGGAGACGGTATGGAGAACACGGCAAAATGTGGAACGGCGACCTGGGCTTACCCACCAATGACCGTGTCTGTGGGACTATGGAAGGAGCCGTATGAGGGTCTTGGGGGGCCTCGGGACTATCTCGCAGCGGGGCTCGACGCTCTCGACGCTGAAGTTGTGTCGCGCCGCCGTTCGATCTTGGGAGGCCTCGCGTTCAGAGTGGTAACGTCACGTGGACCTTCTTGGAGCCTCCCGGAGCATTCTGAGGGCCTCTGTGGGACGCGGTGCAGTCCCGTTATGACTTGGGCCCATCTTGGGGCGCGTATTGGCTCTGTTGGGCTGTCTTGGGGTCACGTTCGGGCTCCTGGCCAATGTTTGGCATGTCTTGGGGCCTTTTCGGTTGTTTTCGAACTTCTGTGGGGTCCTTGCGGGATCTGTTGGGGCTCTTGGGAACCGCCTCTCTTGGGAGTGCTCTTGGAGGCATTGGGTCGTTTAGGAGCGATCTTTGGAGGTATGACGGCTCCTTTGGGGTCACCTTCGTCCGTCTTGGAGCTTTCTGGCGTCGATTCGGGAGCGCGCCTGAACGTCGGGGGCCCTCTGGGCCTGTCTTCGGGCTCCCGTGAGGTCCACCCAGGTCGTCTAGGGGGCTGCCTGGAAGGCACGGTTTTGGGGGGGGAGGGTGTTTTCCTGGGTTCTGGACTTTATAAACATATATGAGTAGGAATGTGTGCGTGCATATTCACAAGTATGTATATGAATGTGTCGCAGTCCTCTGGTGAACCCTCGGCGTCGGCTATCCTGCAGACGCAGTATGGATCGCAGTCCATCTCGCCGCCCGCGACGGCAAGGCCGCTAGCGCTGATGATAGCCACCTGCGCCGGGGGAGGGCCGTGCAGAGACAGCGCTCGCGCAACCTCCCAGGCCAAACGAAACGAATGCCCCTAGAATACAAACAAATTGCATGAACACAACCTCTCGGAGCTCCACCAGGATTCATTGAGTCGGCGTTGGACCCCGCTAGCGGCGCCTCCGACGCCGCCCTTGGCGCGGTCCGCGCGCCAGGGAGGGGGATCCAGCACCGATCCAAAAAATCCGCGCGGATGTCCGACACTGTATGCTGACACAACCTGTTGCTCCTCAGCCTGGGCGGGTGGCCCTCGGGGATCGGTTCGCCGATCGCTGCACGCGATGCGACGGCAGCCGGGCACACGCTGCTGCTGCACTGCGAGCTCGTGGATCCAGGGGGCGCGGCCTCCCGAAGCAGGAAGCCGGAGCCGCCCGACCCTGGTGACAACGCGCGCCGCTCTCCGCACGGAAGTGGGAGACGTCGCCAGCCCGCGCGCCACAGTCTCCAGGCTGGCACGTCCTGGACTTAGCGGCATGCGTGTTCGTGTTGGGTTCGCCGGTTCCAGGTCGATGTTCCCCCCGCCCCCCCCCCCCTGGGCTGGTGCCCCCCTGGCGTTCCCCCGCACGCAGGCTCGGGGGACCCGCGGGAGCACTGCCCAGCGATCGGAGGAAATAGGTAGGAGCATGAATGAAGGGGCCCTGGGACACACAGAGAAATACACACAAATAAAAGGATTCCTCATATGTTCTGGGTTTTCGTCCCTCCCCCCACTTCCCATATTTTCGCATCATTTTCCTGGGGGTCGACGATGAATTGTGACTGTGTGTTTTTTTCCTTCCTCAATGAAGTAGGAAGGCGCTGAAAATAGATTGGGTGTTCGCCCGCCCCCTAAGGAAGTCGGAAGAAGCGAAGCCACTCGATCATTCCACTAGGAAGGCGCTCAAGTAGATTGGAGCCTGGGAAACCCAAAATACCTACCTTCAAAGACCGATGGGTACTGCTCCGAGGGCCCTCGGGGAGACCACACTGGGGGCGGAGAAAGGGATGGAGCGGCCTCGATCCGCGCGCACAGGGGGGGGGGCCAGCTCTGGTCCAAGAGATCCCCCCGAGGACGCGGCACGGGGTGTGCCGCGGGCAGGAGGCCACGTGCGAACCCTGCCCCGCCCCGCCCCCCCTCAGAGATCGTCGGGAGGTGGGGCTGGAGGCCTCTCGGATGGGGTCCTGAGCAGATGGGGTCGGAGGATCGCGCCGCAGCGCCGATACATCGACGATGCTCCTCCTCCTCCTCCTCCTCCTCCTCCTCCTCCTCCTCCTCCTCCTCCTCCTCCTATCGCCGGTGCACCGGCGATGCACCGGCGATGCACCGTCGACATCGTTGATGCATCGGCGACGTCGACGTGAAGTAAAGCGGGCTCCACAGCGAGCCCCATCGGCGACGCACCAGCGACGCACCGGCGATCCTCAGCTCCGACCCCACCTGCTCGGACCCGAGCCAGGAGGCCTGGAGGGGCAGGGCTCGCACGTTGGGCAGTAAGCAAACTGCCGCGCGCCCAAACACCCAAACCTGTCAAGCTGAGGGCCAATGAACTGCAAGAACATACGCTCCACGACTTTAGACAGCTGAGAAGTTAGTTGGATGCCCCTGTAGTTGTCAGGGTTACAAACGGCGAGCTTCTTCTGGAGAGGGTGCACCCAATGCTCTCGCCATTGCAAAGGCCACGCGCCCACCGAGAAAAGCCCAACGCGCTGGGCTCCCCCTCCCCCCCGAGGGCGTAACGAAGCTCAGCGCAACTGCAGCGGAATGCCCAAGCCGGTGATGCCTTCAAGAAAAAAAAAACATCAGAGAAACACCCCAATCAGTGGATGGTTTAATCGATAATGAAATCGACCGGGACCCCGGGAACCTGGGACCCCGGAACCCACGGAAATCGGCCTGGAACCAATAACCAGGAACCCGGGGACCCGGAACCGGGAACCCGGGAACCCGGCCGGCCACCAACATCGGCGGGAAACTGTCGCCAAATCTTCCAATCTCCGCTAGGACCCCTTCAGTGCAAGCACTGATTGAGGAACTGTCTGCAACTACGGCAGGTTCGTGTCGTGCCGACCTCGGCGTTTTTCTCTGACACCGCGGGGATCGTTCAACCTTGAGCGATCGGCCGTGTCCGAAACGTCCAGATCGTTCCACACCGAACGATTCTGGGTCGCCCGCGGCGTTCAAACTGGAACGCCGCGGGCGGGGGTCGCCGCCGGTCGACACGACACGACCCTGCCGTACCAGGGCGCCGCCGGTGCACGGCGAGTCAGTGCCCGCCCGCCCCGCCGCGCTGGCCAACCAGCGTTAAGTCGGGCGTGTCCTCCTGCGGGGGGATTTTGGGCGAACAAAAAAGAATACTCAAAAAATACCCCCCAAATATTCAGAAATAGTTAGTCAAAAAATCGTCTCCAGACTATTTTCTGACTATCGTTGAACATTCCCCCTGCAGAGGGACACGCCCGACTTAAAACCAGCGTGCCAGAGAGCGCGGGGCCAGGCGCAGCCCCCCCCCCCCCCCGCGGTGGCGCGCGGGAAGCGCGGCGCTGGTCGCTGGAGGCGCCGCGGAGGGGCGGGGGGGGCGGAAGGGGGGAGGGCGGCGCCGTGCCTCTTGCTCTGCCAGGGTATGATCGCTGCTGTCCTTATTCATATGATTAACCTTCTGCTTATGACTTGGTAGCATGGCTACGTGTCTCCTTCTGCTAAATTGTATGTTTAAGTGTTCTTCAAATCATTAGTTGTAGTCGTATTATTATGATGGGTCTTATCATGATTCGTGGTAGTATGTTACGTTCACATTGTTAGTCTTACTATTCTGAGCATTCGTATCATGATTACTCCTCGCATTATTATAATCGTCATTTTTCTTCGTATTCTGCTTCTTCTTCGATCGATCGATCTTTCCAGAGAGAGAGAGAGAGAGCGAGAGAGAGAGAGTGAGAGAACGAGAGAACCCCCCCAAAACAACAATTTCGGCTGTGAGGAGGGCCGCCTGGACGTGCTTGCAGAGCTTCCTCCTCCTCTTCTGCTGCTCGGCGCGCCCGCGGGGGCCCACCACCACCTTGAAGAGCGTGAGTGCCACCGACAGCTCGCCCTGCAGCGGGGCTCCCTTCTTGTCCGTCAGCGACGGCCCGCGGGGCAGCGGGAGCATGGGCACCGGGGAGGACGAGGCACCGATACTGCTACCCTCCCGAAATCTCGCCGTTTCGGGCCTCCCGGGACGTCCTCGTCGCCACGGCTGGATTGGCATGAAGTGCTGGTCAGATCGCACCCTGGGAGAGTTCTGGGGAGTAGCGGTGTCGGTACCTCGGATTTGTCTCACCAGGAGCATGGGCGCGGGGGAGGGAGATCACAAGACGAGGTCAGGATGAGAACAGACACCAGAGGCGGCGATCCATCTCTTCGGCGAGGCGCTCTAGCGAATACGTGTAGTGCCCTTATCGTCGCCTCCGAAACATCGAGGAATATGTGAGATACGGCGGGTCCGGAGGACGTCTCGAGCGCCGCAGCCGTTCTGGACCTGTCCGGAACGCTTTGGGATGAGCTGTCCTCATCCTGCAGGGCCTCCCCGAGACAGAGGAGAAGGCGAACCCTAACAGGACCAGAGGAGAGGGTGGGGGCTGAGCGTGCCTTGGCACTTGTTCCTCAAAGGGTGAGAAGTCTCTGACCAGCCCTGTGTGATTCTTGTCGGAGGTTGGGGGGCGAGGTCCAAGTGGCATGCAGAGCCCCCCACCGGGCAATCGGCTCCGGCCTCTGAAGCCGTGCGTGCGGGCGAGGCGAAGCCGCATGGGCGGTCGAGAGGAACAACTCCGGTGTGGCTAGGGCGGGTCAGAGCTGTTGACCCGTCCTCCCCCCCCCTCCGGTGGTCCGGCGGTGGCCCATCCCCCATCTGTCCCGCCGTGTCAGGAGGAGGAGGCGGAGGAGGAGGAGGAGGAGGAGGTGTCCCGTCGCTGTCCCGTCGGTGTCCCGTCGCGGCGGGCGAGCGGTGGCCAAGTTGCCCCGCCGCGGTCCCGCCGGTGTTCCGCTGGTGTCCCGTCGCGGCGGGGGGGGCGGTGGCCAGGTTGCCCCGCCGTGGTCCCGTCGGTGCTCCGTTGGTGTTCCCTCGGTGTCCCGTCGGTGTCCCGTGATGAGATCGAGAGTGAGATCGATAGTGAGAATATTGGTGTCCCGTGGTTTTCCGTCGGCGTCCCGTCGGTGTCCCGCGGGTGTCCCGCGGTTGCCCCGTCGGTGTCCCGTCGGTATCCTGTGGTGTCTCCTGGTGAGATCGATGGTGAGATCGGTAGTGAGACCGACAGCGAGATAGTGGGAGTGGTGCTCCGCTGGTTTCGCGATTGGTGTCCCGACGGGTGTCCTGATGGTGTCCTGGTGGTGTTTCGATGGCTCATGGGGAGACGTTGGGGGAGGGCTGTAGAGAACCCGATGCGCCAAACTGTTTTCAATTTCAGCACCACTGGCCACGGGATCGACTGTGATACCCGTCGGTGTCCCGTCGGTGCCCCGTCGGTGTCCCGTCGAGGTCCCGTCAGGGTCCCGTCGGTGTCCCGTCGGTGTCCCGTCGGTGTCCCGTCGATTTCCTGTGGCGTCTCTTGGTGAGACCGTTTCTGAGATCAGTAGTGAGACCGAGAGTGAGATCGACAGTGAGAGTGGCCATTTCATCACCACTAGCCATCGTAGCCATCCCAGTTGTCGTCAATTGGTTCTTTCCCCCAAAAACCTCCTCATCACCCGAAGGGTAGCCGTATAGGTATTGGTTGGTCTGGTTGAGGCTTCCAGTCCCCTGAGGAGAGCGGCTGGCGGTCAGAAGGGGGGCTAGAGGGTGCGAGTCGAAGCCTCCCCCTTCTCCTCTGAAGGTCGTTATCTGGTGGACGGGGAAGTGCCAGCCGATTTAACCTTTTCGCTCCGGGCAGCCCCATGTATGCCCGCGCGCACACCTACTGCGCAGCGTGCGCCCCTTTCGGACCTGCGCAAACGGCAAGGTCAGGTTATCCAGAGGGGGGAAATGGAGGACCCGACGACCCGGGCTATCGCCAGACCCTTAGAAAAACACTCCCCTCCTCCTCCTCCTCCTCCTCCTCCTCCGCCTCCTCCTCCGCCTCCTCCTCCGCCTCCTCCACCTCCTCCTCCTCCTCCTCCTCCTCCTCCTCCTCCTCCTCCTCCATGCGCCTATTAATATGCTGCTGCTGCTGTTGCTCCTGCTGCTGCTGCTGCTGCTGCTGCTGCTGCTGCTGCTGCTACAGCTGCTACTGCTGCTACTGCTTCTGCAAGGAGCTTGAAGCTTGAAAGAGAATTAGTAGAACCAAACTACATGAGCAACATTTCTGGATGTCCGCGCGGATTTCTTGGGTCGGCGCTGATACCCCTGGGGGGAACCTCTTGCTCCACCGCAGGCACGATCCGCCTGGCCACCCCCCTATGCCGCGCGGATGGCGCCAGTCTGGTGCCCGAGGCGCCGCCAGGGAAGCCAGCGCTGATCAAACAAATCCGCGCAGAAGCGGCGCTGGAGGCCCCGCGGAGTCAGCGCCGATCTGCGCTGACGTGGTGCCAGAAGCGCCAGGAGTCCAGCGCAGATCCAAAAAAAATAGCGCGGACCTTCGACAGCCTATCAAATTTCTCCTCGCCGCGAGAGCGCCCCAAGAGGGCCCCAAGAGCGCCCAAAAGGCTTCAAACATACCCCCAAGCTGGCTCCAAAGCACTTTCCGAAGTCTCGGACTTCGCAACTGTTGGCGTCCCTGCGTTGCTGCGTGCGTGCCAACGGCCTCCTCCAGGCAGCTCCAAAAGGTTTCACTTCTGGATGGGCTAGTGGAGATACGAGAAGAGTCCAGATGTTCTGCTCTTCGACCCTCGCCTTATGTTGTTCTCATCGTACTTAGAGACCACATCCCAGAAATAATTTCGAGCACCCTGAAAAGTGTCGAAAGAGTGTCGAAACAGTGTCGGCCGAGTGTCTCCCAGGGCCCGACATGTGAAAACCCTCGGGTTTCGGTACTCGCTTGGGCGCTCGAAATCCTTCCTGGTGATCGAGGCTGGAGTAGGTTCGAACATCATCACCCTCGCCATGCCCTCCTCAGGGCGCCGCCGCGGGCTCCCCGGGACCCGGGCCGCCCCGCGGGGATAGCTCGCCCTGGAAGCCGTTGGGGTAGAAGTCCTCGTGCGACAGCCTGGCCATGCCGATGAGCTCATCGCCGCCAATGTCCTCATCGAAGACCTGCTCGGGGCCACCCACGCAGACCCTGCCTCATAAGCCTGAGCTTCGCGGGAGGCGCCAACCTATCTCCAGAGGCCGAAAATATGGAAGCACCTCCCGCCATGAGTTCCTCCTTGCCCGAGGGAGCCTGGTGCGGGGCCGGCGCCCGACCCCCGATTGGCGCGCCCCGTGGGCGCCCTGCCGTGCGCCCACGTGGGCCTGCTTTTGGAGGTGCCTCGGGTGCCCGCCCGGGGCCGCCCGTGGGCGCCCACGTGCTACAGCTGCACGGATCTTGGCCGGGCCAAGCCTGGGCCCAGGATCGGTGCGCATGCCCTCCTTGCCATGCCGAGAGGGCGTGTGCACCGATCCTGGGCTCAGGCTGGGCCTGGCCGAGGCTCATGCACAGTAGGAGCTCGACCACAAGAAGCCCTCCACAGGAAACCCGACCCTGAGACCCCAGGGCGTCCAACGATTTTCTGGTGTGGGAGCGTCGCGATCTTTTCACCGCAAAACCATCGAAACCCAAGAAACCCAGGGCACCCTGGAGGCAAGCAGGGTGCTTCTTGGCATGGGCCTCCACTGTATGATGCTCGCTCGATGTCCGCCACAGTCTCAATTTTTGCGGAGCGACGAATGATTCGGCTATACTCAAGAGTGACCCTAGGCAAGAGTGACCTTTAGCGCGCGGAGTCTCTACTTGGAAAGGTTTGAGAGAACGCGTTTCGCAGGCGCTTGCCTTGGGAACATTCGGCGGCGCGTTTCACACTGGGGGGTGGGCCCCCCCCCAACACTCGGGGCCGTCGATCAAAACCAGGGGGACCCCACCCCCTCCCAAGGCGGGGCGGGGTTCATCCCCCCCCCGCCCCCTCGGCGCCGGCGCCGGCGCTGGCGGCCGCCAGCAGCGCCCACGGGCACCGCCCACGGGCACCGCCCACGGGCAGCGCCCACGGCGGGGACGCAGCGACGATGACCAGAGGAGGCAGCCCAGAGGGGGGGTGGGGGGTTCAATCCCCCCCCTCCCAGGGGGGGGTTCAACCCCCCCCCTCCTCGGCGCCGGCGCTGGCGGCGGCCAGCAGCGCCGGCGCTGGCGCTGGCGACGGCGGGGACGCAGCGACGATGACCACCACTACCACCAAACCACCACCACTACCAACACCACCACCACCGGCTCAACCCACCACCACCAACACCACCACCAACAGCACCACACAACCACCACCACCACCACAGCCACCACCACCACAACCACCACCGCAACTCACCACCACCACCACCACCACCACCATCACAAAAACCCACCACCACTACCACCACCACCACAATCTACCACACCACCACCACCACCACCACCCAACCACCAGCACAACCACCGCAACCACCCAAACCACCACAACCACCACACCACGCCACCACCACCACCCCACCACCTCCACCACCACACCACAACAAGTCCCCAAACCACCGCCACTGAATCGACGCCACCACCACCGCCACGACCAGCCACACACAACCCAACCACCACCACCAAACCACCTCACCACCACCACCACCACCGCCACCACCACCACCACAAGCACCACGTCCACAAACCACAACCGCAACCACAACCCACCACCACCACCACAACAAACCACCACACCACCACCACCACAACCAACACCACCGCCACCACCACCACCACAACCCACCACCACCACCATTGTCGTCCTCGTCGACGTTTCCCGCCACCGCCGCCCGCCGCCGCAGGCGCCGGCGCCGGCCAAGAGATGGAAATCGTCGTCCCCGCGGCCGTCGCCAGGAGCGTGTTTCTTTATGTTCGGCGATGATGGGCGTCATGGGGGGGGTGGGGGGGCGGGGGGGGTATGACGTAACGCCCCCCCCGCCGTGTGGGTCCGGCACCGCAGCCGCGCCCCGCGCGCGCGACGCGACGAGCGACGAGCGACGACGACGACGACGACGACGACGACGACGACGATCACGGCGACGACGAGCGACGAACGACGAGCGACGACGACGACGACGACGACCTCGACGACGCGATCAGCACGTAGGTGTCGATATGCCCCACTGCGCCTGTGGACACCACAACGCTCGCGTGCACCACAGCGCGCGTGTATACCACAGCGCGTGCGTACACCGCAACTACCGTGTGCAACGCAGCGCCTGTGTACACCATAGTCCTTGCGTGCACTACAGCGCTGGCGTACACTTGCACTCCGCAGCTACCATGTGCAAAGAAGCGCCTGTGCACACCACAATGCTTGCGTGCACCGCAGCGCCTGTGCACGCCACAGCGCGCGTCTACACCACAGCATCCGCGTGCAACGCAGCGATGGTGTACACCACAATGCCTGCGTGCATAAGATAGGTCGAAAGACCATGTACGTGAGGATCTGCTGCGGACAGCTAGACGCCACGCCAGGAAATTGCTGATAATCGAATGCGACGTTCTTCCCTCCTCCCTCCTGTTCCTGTTCCTGTTCCTCCTCCTCCTCCACCTCCACCTCCTCATCACCTCCTCATCCTTCTCCTCTCTTCCTCCTTTTCCTCCTCCTCCCCCTCCTCCTCCTTACCCCCCGTCGTGCGGGTTGGCGCTACAGCGCACGTGCGCATCTCAGCGCGCACCGCAGAATGGTCTACTGAATCGGCCCAGTTGGTTCTCGGACGGCCAATTTAGCTGGAACGTCCTGGACGCAAAAAAAGAAAAAAGCAGAGAAAAAGAAAAAAAAAGACAAAAAAAAAGTAGAAAAAAAAACTACAAAAAATAAAAGAAAAAAGAATAAAAAAAAAATAAAAAAAAAAACAAAAAAATTAATAAAAAAGAGAAAAAGAAAAAAAAAAATAAAAAAGGAAAAAAAGAAAAGAAAGAAAACAAAAAAAAAAGAAGTAAACAAAAAAAAAAAAAAAAAAAAAAAGAAAATAAAAAAAAAAAATAAAAAAAACAAAAAAAAATAAGACCAAAAAGAAAAAAAAAAAAAAATAAAACAAAAGCACAAAAACTCAAGCCAAAAAAAACAAAACAAAATAAAAAAAAATAAAAAAAAGTGAAAAAAAAAAAAAAAAATAACAAAAAAAAAAAAAAAAAAAAAAAAAGAAAAAAAGAAAAAAAAAAAAAAAAAAAAAAAAAAAAAGAAAAATAAAAAAAAAACAAAAAAAGTAAAAAAAAAAGAGGGGGAGTTTAGGTGATGCTGCGACAAAAAAAAAAAAGGGACTCGGGAGGACACGTAGATTCCAGCGGCGCTATTGTTTTCAGTGAAATCCACAGGCGCTCCATTTTGTCATAAGGATTCGTTCTCACATTCTATATACAACACTGGTGCTGTGTTGCACACGGTTGCTGTGGTGCACACAGGCGCCGTGGTGTACACAAGCCCTGCAATGCACGCAGGCATTGTTGTGTATATTGGTGCTGTGTTGCACACGGCTGATGTGGTGAACGCAAGCGCTGCGGTGTGCACAGGAGCTGTTGTGGCCGCAGGCACGGTGGCACAAACTGACGCTGTGTTGCACGCGGTTGCTGTGGTGTACGTAGGCGGTGGTGTACACAGGCGCTGCGGTGCACGCAGGCACTGTGGTGTACACAAGAGTTGTGGTGAAAATCGCCACCTACATGCTGGCGCTGCCCGTCCTCCATCATTCCTGGGCATTCCCAATCGCCGCCGGCGCGAAATGTGACGTCATCGACCCCCTCCATCCCCCCCCAGATGATTGCCGTCATCGGCCCGGCGTAAAAAGCAGGCTTCAGCCGCGTCCGCGCGCACGACGACTATGAGCGACGAGCGACAAGCCACGAGCGACGACGACGACGAAGACGACGACTGCGGACCAGACTTACATACGGGTTCCTACGCGGACATCTACGCGGATCCCAATGCGCACAGCGGCAGTGCTCGGAGCGCACCGGGGGGCAGTGCCCGGAGCGCACTGGAGGGGGGAGCGTTACGTTATCGGGAGGTGGTGGGTGGGGCGGGGGCCATGACGCCCGTTATGCCCCAAGCAATAAAGAAACGGGCTCCAGCCGCCGCCGACCCAAGCGCAGCGCCGGCCCGAGGAGAGGGGAAGCAGAGA